CAATGTGAGGGGACCAGGGGGCCCTGGGAGCCTTTAGCAGCAGCTGATGCAGCCCAGGGGGTGAGAGGTGTCTGAGCAGAGCCTGCAGGGTGAGGAAGAGCCGGGCAAGGGAACTGGGAGCCGAAGTGTGGAGGGAGGCGTTTCTGAGCAGCACGGGGCTGCAGAGGGCTTCCTGCAGGGGCTGATTTCAGCTGGGCCTTGAAGAGCAGGTAAGCCCAAGGAAGGGGAGGGGACAGAAGCAGTGAGGCAGGAATCAGCATTTGGGGATGGCAGGGCCATGGGCCTGGCTGCTCTGGTCTCAGGATTGTGTGTGAAGGAAGTACGGGAAAAAGAATCCCTTTTGGAGAGGCCGAATTTGAGTGGCTGGCCAGGCATCCACCTGGAAATGTGCAGGGGGTGCTTTCTCATTAGAAACGTGGACCTCTGGGGTGCCTGGGTGGCTCAGTCTGTTAAGCGTCTGCCTTCGGCTCAGGTTGTGATTTCGGGGTCCTGGGATCAAGCCCCATGTTGAGCCCCATGTTGGGGTCCCTGCTCCTCGGGGAGCCTGCTTCTCCCCCTCCCTCTGCAACTTCCCCTGCTTGTGCTCTCTCTCTCTCAAATGGATAAATAAAATCAAGAAAGAAAGAAAAGGAAAGAAAGAAAGAAAGAAAAAGAAAGAAAGAAGAAAGAAAGAGAAAGAAAGAAGGAAAGGAAGGAAGAAAGGAAAGGAAGGAAGAAAGAAAGAAACGTGGATCTCTGGTGTGGAGGGGCTCAGTCTTCTGAAGAAATTATAGCGAAGGAAGACTGGAGGCCAAGGTCAGGGTGCTGAGACACCTGGGCGGGGGAAGGGAGCCAGCCTGAAGACAGAGAAACCCATAAGAACACACTCTGTAGAAGCTCAGCGAACGGTTCTCCAGGATGGAAAGGAGTAGCTCCTCCCAGCCAAATGTTAGCGAAGCTTCTACAGCTCCAGGAATTGGCTGGGGGGGCACAGGATTATTCACATAAACGAGTGAGCATTCCTAATGCATTGTCTTGGTCTCTACCCCTCTCCCAGCACTGCCCCTTCTCTCACCTTCCTGCTAAAAATATCCCCGGAGGCCCCAAACCCAGGTCTACAGCAGTTGGCCATCCCTGGGGCTTCGGAGCAAGGAGGCCCAGGTTCTCTGCCTGGTATCAGTGGCCACCCATCCTGGACAGCTAATGATGGGACACCAGCATTGCCTTTGAGCGGAGGACATGAAAGTGGCCACGGGCTGCTGTGGGTAGGCAGGTGAGGTGAGCAGGCAGGGGCAGACCTGCCTGACAGTTTGGCACTGAGGTGCCAAATATACCTGCCGGTCCCAAGTCACCTCTATCCTCCAGCTTCCCACAGAAGGGAGGGCGAGGCTCACTTGGAGCAAGATAAGCCTCCCCCCTTAAGTAAGGGGGCCCCGGGAAAAGCTGGGCTCCATCCGGGAGGCTAGGGCTTCCAGCACAGCCTGCCCTGGGACCTGCCTCAGCGGCTGCCTCACAAGAGAGGCAGGGTTCTGGCCCGCCTTGGGCCACGCCCAGGGAGCCGCTGGGAGGTTCCAGAAACCAAGGTGCAGCCAGCCTGATCCAGGAACACCCGTGCCACCCACGCCAATTAGGGTTTTCTGGCACCAGAGTACCTGTACCCTCCTTAAGCCCTCCCGACCCCTGCTCAGCTAGAAAGGAAGTTTGGGAGGTGGCATGATGGGGCGAGGGCTGAATGGGTGAGGGGGTACAGTGGGAAGGGAGGCAGCTGTAACGAGGTTCGCAGTTTGGAGGCAGGTGGGCTATTCTGAGCAACTCACTTTTCTTCTTAGCTTGGATTTTCTCACCGACAAAATGGAATTAGGAGTATTACAAGGCCAACACGTTTCAGAGGATTGTCACAAATAAACAGAACCAGTGAACTTTCCAAACCGTCAAGGTCAGGTGTTGCTGGTTTCCATGACCGACCAATGTCGCACTGGGAATTTTCCGTGTGAAGTCCATGGAGCCCTAGTTGGAGGGAATCTATGAACTGCCTGAAATAATGTGTAAAAATGCATGTGCCAGGGCATCTCTGTAGGTGAGGATCCATAGTTCTCAGCAGCTTTTTATTTTATTTTAATTTTTTTTCTATCCCCCATCAGCAGCTTTTTAAAGAGGTCTGGGACCCTACAAAGTCTAAGACCCACTCACGGCGCAAGTCTGTCCCTGTTGTGTTTCAGATGAGTTAGCGGAGACCCACAGTGGCACAGCTTGTCTGAGGCAGCACCATAGGTGGGGGCCCTGGTCCCCCATCCTCCACTACTCCCCTCTGCCCCTCCCATGTCAGGTGAGGGGAGAGGAAAGTTAGGAAGATCAGGGAGGGGTGAGGAGGCAGAGCCCCAAGTCCTGCAGGGAATTGGGGCCCCTGTCCTCCGTGTTACCAGGGCGAGGGCCTCATGGGGGAAAGACAGGAGCAGGATGAAGCCCTAGGCTAAGGGAGGCCTGGGAGGTCCCTCCTGGAAGCACGAGCTGCTGAATAAATGAGTCATCCTCCTGGTCTGGTCTCCCTTCCCACCCCCACCCCAACTCGGAAGACTCAGAGGAGGTAACACAACTCTCTCTGACACTGTCTTGAGATAAACACTCTGGTTCTCAGTTTCCTCTTCTGGAAAAGTTGAAGATACCAAGTCAAAGCTTTACGGAAAGCTGTGAAAGGCCCCACACAAATGTAAGGTAGTCACCGGCCAAAAATGCAATTTATTGAGCAACCACTGACTACCAGACACTTGCTGGATGCTTTGACGAAACTGGCATAAATGTCACCACTTCAAGAGGCCCGCCCTGACCGCCTGGTTAAGGTAAATCCACTTCTCTCCCCCACCGGCCAGTTATTCTCACACTTCCTGTGCCTTTCCTTCCCACCACTTACTATAATGTGTGATGTTTCTGGGTGTTATCGCCTCTCTCCTCCACTAGACTTGCCATGAGAAGGAGCCACGTATATCCATGCTAAGCACAGTGCCCGCCGCCAGTAGTCCCTCAAATACTTGTTAATGAGCACATGACTGTCTCTGATCTTCACAGCAGCCCCAGGGAGGTATTATTATCATGCCCATTATACAGAAGAAGAAACTGAGGTTCGGAGAGTCAAAGAGACTCGCTTAAGGATGCAGTTTGTTATCACCAGACTTTAGCTCTGCTTCTTCCCCTTGAAGGATTTCAAGAACGAGAGAGCCTAAGGGTCAGAAGAGAAAGTGTGGGCCCAGCAAAATGGCTCCCCGGTTCAGCCGCCACCCTGTGCTCAGCCTTCCCCAGCTGAGCTCTTCCAACCTCTCATCACACTGAAGTAGCTTCGAGTCATCAATCCACAGCCACAGAGCTGAGGCCAGTCCAAACTGGCCTGTTTATTTCCCAAGCCAAGTGACAGCCAGCCCTTCCCCTCCCTCCAGAGCAATATACAGCTGGGAGCCCACGCCCCACTCCTCAAACCTGACACAGCAGATAAATTAGTGAAGTCTTTTATAAAACATTGTACAGGGAAAATACATACATATATATAGGGCCAGTGCTGGTGTTGGGGTGGGGTTCGCTTCTTGAACACAGGTAACCAGATCCTGCCCCATCAGGGTGCCGGCACTCTCCTTCCCTGAAGTGGCTCACCTGCTGTCCCCACAACCTGGTACCTGGCTGGTTACCTCAAGTCATAAAGGTCCAACATCTTGCCCCCAAAGGGCACTGCTTTCTGGCTGCCCCTACAGGCCTGCTCCTGCGGTGGGCCACTCCCTGCTCTTCTTCCTACCAAGGCAGCCTGCCTTGGCCTGGTCCTAGGAATCCGGCCTGGGGAGGGGACGAGGAAGACTGTTTCCTGGTATGTGTGGGGAACATACGTCATCCAAATCAGAACTTCTTTTGAAAGTGGATGGGGGTCTAATTCACTGGCCAGCAGGCATAAACTCACACTGCCCAGGCAAAGGGCCCTCCTGATAGGTCTCCCCTGCTCGGAGCCGGCCCAGTCCTAGCATTCTAGAGCTTCCAAACCGCATTCCCCGTCAGAGCAGACACCTCTCAGATCCCAGGGCCCATCTCTGCTACCTCCCACTCTGCATCTTCTAGCATCTTCCCTATGTATTTTAAAGGCTCCATAATACTGGGGACCTGTAGTGTTGGGATTGGGAAGGGTGTTTGGGTAGGATGCCCCCACCAAATCCCAAATGTGTTCTGGCTGTATTAGGCCTTTGGTGTCAAGCCCCCAGGCCTTCTGGCTCCTTGGGCCCAATCCCCCAAATCATGGCTGCCTGGGTCTGGGTAGGAAAACATGACTTTATCCTCTGTCTCCCAGCCCGTACTTGCCAAGTCTTCTCTCCCTAGGCTTCCCAGCAGCTGAGGTAGCTAACGGCCAGGGCCAGGGCAACTGAGCCATCAACCCTCCCTATCCCCACCTTTGGCTGATGCAAAGAACTCTGTTCCAGCACCTTCTCCACGTGTTGTCCATGCCTATGTCCTTGGTCCCACCTCAGTGTGCCTTCTATGCTAGGTACCCTTAGGGTGGCAAATGGTGGATTGGTGGAGGCTAAAGAGATCAACCTGTAGTTCCCTGCACCCCTACCCAGATGGAGCTGGGCCTCAGGCCTTTGGGAGCACCAGAGAGCCGATCACAGCCATGGAGATGGACTCAGAGTTAGCACCCCGCCCCTTGCTTTTAGAACCTGCTCAGTAGGCCATGCTTGTAAAACTGCTTTAAGTAAGTCTTGCTAAAGCAAACAGTACCAGATAGGGGAAGCTCAGCCTCCAGGCCCTTAAAGGCTCCTCTTCTCCTCCCTCTTTCCCCCTCCCCTCGCCCACAGCCACCCCAGTGCTTTGGGAAACAGAAGCCCACTCTTGATCTTTCCACCACTTCTCACTCGTCATCTGTCTGTGTTTGGGTAACAAAGACTCTTCCATGTTTAAGCCAGGACGTCGAACACCTGCCGCATCCCTCCCACCCCCACAAAAACAAGTGCCCAGATCTGACGCCTTGGAGTAGAGCTGAGAACACCGGGGGTTCAGGACGGGGCTTTCCGGTGGTTCCCCGAGTAGGCATAGGAGATGGGATGGCGGGTCCCAGGCCTCACGGTGAATGTGTTGATGGGGCTTCCATAGTGGGGGGTGCTGTGGGGAGACCTGGGATGGGGGAGCAGGAGAGAGGGAGGTTAGTATTTGCAGCTAGTTAACCAACAGCCCTCCCATCTCCCTCAGGGCACAAGAGGAAAAGACGTGTAGCTCAGCGCTGTGGTATCTGCCCACACAAGCCCCGGTGGACAGGGTGGGACCTGGGTGGACCAGTACTGATTCCAGACACAGGGCTCCTCCTCCCAGCTAGGCCTGGCTGGCCTCAGGATAGCGCCTAATACCCTTCTGTTTGGAACTCTTCACTTCTAGCCTGGGTCTGGATCCTTCTCTGTGTCGCTGGGAAATCCCCATAGGCACACAAGGGCCGCTCAGGTCTCCCCTCCACACCACTCTTAGCCTGAAGCTCTGAGTCTCTAGAGAGTGGGAAAGAGGAGGTAGAAGAGGGGGAGCTGGTGGGGAAAGCAGGAGGGTAGGGAAAGAGAGAACAAGGGAGAGGGTGGGAAATAAGTTAGCAGGTCAGGCAACCGTCAACAGCGCTCTTTCCAGGTTAAGTGCGCCTCGCGTCCCTTTCTCTGCCCCAGAGAGCCAGAGGAGAGAAAACCCAACGTGCCCGGACTGGCGGCCACGGCCTGGTGGGCTCCTCTGGGGCCCCGAGGGCAGGGCCTCCACTCACCGGGCTTCCCACCCCGGGCTGCGTTCCTCGCCCCGCCCCCAGCTCACCTGCCGGCCGTGGGGGCGAAGCCATAGTCGCCGCCGGGCGCCTTGAACTTGGCCTCCCCACGGGCGGCGCCCTCCATGGACAGCCTCCACGCGTGCAGGCCTCCGGGGAGCGCGCGGCCCGCCGAGTTGACGTGCCGCATTTCCGGGCCTCCGGGCGGCGGCCCGAAGCAGTTGGGGGAGCTCAGGCTGCGGCCGGTGCCGCCGCGGGGCTGCCCGGGGCTGCGGTGGGGCTCCCCGACGTACAGGCGCTTCTTGATGAGGGAGCGGCCCCCGCCCGAGAAGCGCTCCAGGCCCCCGGCCCCCGCGTGGAGCGCGCCGGCCGGAAAGCGCGAGAAGCCGCGAGGCGCCGAGGGCTGTCCCAAGTCTGGGAAGTTGTTCCGGGGAGGGGATCCCCGGCGCCCCAGATATTGGAGGGTCGGGGCGGGGGGCTCAGGGTCGTTGCTGAACTCTGGCGGCGGCGGGATGAGCTCAAAGTGGAACTCCCCCTTCTCGTCATCGTCGTCGTCCCTCTTGCAGGAAGGAGAAGGAGGGGACGAGAAGGATTTGGGCAACGGGCGGCCCCGGGGGAGGTTGGAGGATGCCGGCCCTTCCCAGGCCGGAGGGACCTGGGGCTCCGCCTTTGTCCCGTTGTGCCTGAGGCTTGGCTCCGTGCCCTCCGGGTCTCCGCGAGGCTGGGGCTTCCACTGACTGGGTACGGTGGGCTGTGCCGACGAGGCCAGCTGGGCGTCCTTCTCGGCCTCCTTGGGTAACTTGGGGACCACAGTGAAGGAGTTGGGGCGGCCCTCGTTGTGGAAGATGCTGTCAGAGCCTGCTTGGGGCTGGCTGCTGGGGCCACGGAGGGCCCCTGGCAGGGAGGACCGGCCCAGGGCCAGCCCTCCTGGCCTCCCCTTCTGGGCCCTCTGCCTGGCTGCAAGGAGCAGGGCCATCGGGGAGCCTGGCTGCACCACCTCCCCAGTCACCGGATGCCTGAGGAGTTCATCGGCAGGCTGGGCTGAGGTGGGGGGCTTGGCCAGCTGCCCCTGGGGCTCCTTCACCTCCGCAGGTTCCCCTGACCCTACGGCTGAACCTGTGGCCCGCGGTGCCGTCCCAGCAGCAACCTCTTGGCTGGGGCTTTTCTGGCTGCGACAGAGCTTGTAGAGAAATGTCACCTCTTCTCCGCCAGGAGATCTCTTTGGTGGGAGGGCTGGAGCTGAGACGGCTCCCGGGGTAGGCGGCTTACTGGGCTCTGTGGGGCGCCCTTCTGCCTCTACCTGGCGGGGCACTGTAAGTTCTTGAGGTTTGGGCTTCTCCCACTGCCCAGCTGGGACTGGGTTCTTCTCTATCAGCTGGGATGATGTGGTGGGCGCAGTTATGGCTGCAGATGGTATGGCGGGCCCGGGCACAGCATTAGGTGGTGTGGCTGGCCCAGTAGCAGGCGCAGGCTTGGGTGGTAGGGCTGGCCCAGGAGTGGCCTTGGGTGGTAGGGCTGGCCCAGGAGTGGCCTTGGGTGGTGTGGCTGGCCCAGGCACGGCCTTGGACTGAAGTGGTGTGGTTGGCAGAGGGGTGGTGGATAGAGGGGGCAGATTCTTGGCCACAGGCTTAGAGAAGTTGCCATTATCCCCCCTGTTTTCAAAGATTCTTCCCCCTTCTAGCCGAGGTTTGAGAGGCAGAGACCCTACGCTGGGCTTGGCTTCCTTCTCTGCTGATGAGGAGAACCGGGCCTCCAGCTCACTGCGGATCTGCCGGACACTGGGAGTTGGGGCGTCTTGGGGGATGTAGTCCACAGGAGGGAGGGTCAGGCTGGTGGCAGTCCCCTTGTCGGGCAGGCTGCAGGGACTCTTCTCAGGAACGCTTGGAAGGGTCTCCTGCTCTGGCAAGCTTGGGGGAGCCTCTTTCTCTGGCAGGCTGGGGCCCTTCTTGCCCTCCTTTTCCTCAGAGGCCACCGCTGAGCCTGCCCTGTGACTGAGGACTCTGTCGTCCCTCCTGGAGCCACAGAGATAGGCTGCCAGCTCACTCCGCAGCTTTTCCATCTGGCTGGGATCCCTCCAGTCCATAGGTTCTGAAGAGGCTGGGTCCTCTGGGCTAGGGGGGGTCGGTTTGGGTTTGGGGGCAGGGGAGCTGGATTTGCGGCCTTTTGCAAACCCCGAAGGTGGAGGAGCTACTTTCTCAGCAGAAGGTAAAGGAGGGGCAGCTGGGGGGAGGGGCGGTGCTGGGGGGGGTTGTGGGGGTGCGGGAGGGGCCAGGGGAGTGGCTGGCGGTGGCGTGCTCCTCTCAGCATGCTCCTTAGTCCAGGCCTGGGACTGGCCCAGTGTGGGGCTGGCTGGTGCTGCAGCCCTGAGCTCCCCTGGGTGGTCTGGCTCAGGGGCCCTGTCCGGGTAGACCTGGGACGCCGGGCGGATGTGGAAGCTGGGAGGCAGTGGGAGTCGATTGGGGGCTTTCTTGGTGGCCCCTTCTTCCTCTAGAGGAGTCCCCTGTGCTTCCTGAGCTGGGATGGATGAAGTCCTGACTGGGGTTGGGGGAGGCACCTTGAATGAGCGTGGGAAAGTGAGGTGGGGGTCTGGCTTAGGGCCCAGAAGACTCCCCTTTGGCTCAGCTGGGCTCTGGGGGGGGCTGGTTCTGGGGGCCTCTGGCTGCCTGCCATTCAGTGCTACCTCCGATTTCCACTTGGTGACACCCCCAGGGGGACAGAGGCGAGTCCCTGTTGTATGAGGAAATGCTGGGGGTGCTGGGGCTGGCAGAGGGGGTGGGGGTGGGGCTAGAGAGGCCAAGCGTGGGGCAGGAGGAATGAAGTCAGGAGGGGTGGGCGTCGATGGGGAGGAAAGGGTGGAGACAGGGGCTGGGGCCCCCAGTACTGGGGGTGGAGGTGGGGCCGTGCTGGGTGGGGGTGGGGGTTCCAGCAGCAGGGGAGGCGGTGGGGGCGCCATGGAAGGTGGAGGCGGTGGGGACTCCTCTCGAGGTTGTGAAGTGTCCAGGGGTGGCCCTGGGGCCGGGCCTGGGGGCGGTGGGGGGATGAGTGGGTCCTGCCCATAGTGCCCAGGCCTCAGGTCACCCACAGAGCTGTACAGTCGGAGGCTGCCGTTGACTAGTGAGCTGGTACCTGAAAGAAGGGAGAAGCAAAGAAAAGGGGGACAATGAAGCCAACCAGCCTTGCCCATCTCATTGGGGCGGCACCCAAGAGAGTAACTGGCCAGTTTCATGCCTTTCTTCCTGAACACCAGGTGAGGGAGCAGCAATGTCTCCAGTCTCCTGAGCTGTCCTGGAAGTGAGCCTCTCCTTTCTAGGGAGGGGCCCCTGCTTATCCTGGGCACAGCCACTGGAGCCTGGACTGAATATCCTCTGTCTGCTTCACTCTTCTATGCCCTGCTATGGGCGGGACTCCCTTATCCTCTGGCTACAGGTGGGTTGAGCCGATGGACGCTGCTGGCAGATCAGAGGGTGGGGGCAGAGAGGCCAAGGCATTGAACCCTCCGCTCCCTTCTTGACGGGCCACAGTCAGCAAGGGCTGCTTTTCTGTCAGGTTAGCCCCTGTCCGACAGCTCAGAGATAGGAGTAGCTCCCCACTGCTCCTTCGGCCTCTGGGGCACCACATCCACTTTAGTCCCCAAACCCTGCTCACACACCTGTATGTCATGTCATCCCTTTATTAAACGCTTTGGTTATCCCCTTTGAGTTGCCATCTGTTTCTCATGGGGGCCTTGGCTGATGGAAAGCCAGGGTTCAAATCCCAGCTCTACCACTTACTCACATGTGTGACCTCGGACACACTAGTTAACCTTGCTGAGCCTCTGTTTCATCATCTATAAAGTGGGCATAACGCCAGTGCTTACCACATAAAGCTGTTGTGAGGATTCGTGAGAGAATTCACATAAAGACACATAAAGGGCTGATCATGGTGCTAGGCCCATAGTAGGCACTTAAGGATCGGTGACCCCTTTGATTGTTACCAACTGCACTTAACCTTTCAGACTGTGAGACAGCGGAAGTGGGAGAAGAACAGGAAGTTGGGGATCAGGGCCAGGGGCCTGGAGACCTTCTCAGTAGGAAGTTCAGGTGAAAGACCCATAGGAGGGAGCAGGATGCACGAGCAGCTCCTGCTTTCCAAAGCCCCGGAATCTACCAAGAACCCAGACTTCCTTCCACCTCGCAGAGAGCTTCTGGAACAGATGCTGGACTGAGGGATGGAATGGGGGCGGGGTGTGTAGAAAGAAGGTGACCTGAACACCCGGGCGCTAAGAGATGCTGAGCACCTCTGGCCCCGGCAGCTCACACCCCTCCCTTCTTGGACCTGGACCCCAGTCCCCCCACACTGCAGAGTCTGCAGACCGCCAGGATGCCCTGTTATTTCTCTCTCAGGGGCACCCGTCCTCTGCTTCCCTGCCTCTCAGTTTCTAGCACGGAGCATAACAAACCCGGGGAATGTGAGCTCTGAAGGCTCCTCCCAGCTGTCTGACTTCAAGACAAAAAACCTACTGGGGGTGGGGAGGAGAAAAAACTAACATTCATTAAGCACCCAGGTGTTGGGGCGCCTGGGTGGCTCAGTCGTTAAGCATCTGCCTTCAGCTCAGGTCATGATCCCGGGGTCCTGGGATCGAGCCCCACATCGGGCTCCTTGCTCAGCGGGGAGCCCGCTTCTCCCTCTCCCACTCCCCCTGCTTGTGCTCACTCTCATGCTTTCTCTCTCTCTCTCTCAAATAAATAAAATATCTTTAAAAAGAAAAAAGCACCCAAGTGTCAGGAGCTGTAATACAGCAGTGAAAACGAAACAAAAATAGTCAAAATGCTGGCCCTCCTGGAGCTTATGTTTTGAGGGGACAATGAGACAAACAACGAACATAGTACATCCGTAAACTAGTACCACATTAGCGGATGAGTAATACGTGGAAAACAGCCAGGAGGGGTGCTGGGGGTACGATCTGAATAGGGTGGTTAGAGAAGTCATCACTGAGAAGGTGACAGCTGAGCAAAGAGGGAGTAAGGGAGGGAGCTGTACCTACATATAGGGCAAGAGCAGCTGAGGCAGGGCGAACAGCAATGCAAAGACCCTGGGGTGGAAATGTGCCTGGTATTGAAGGGCAACAAGGTTACCGGGATGGCCGGGGCGGTGTGAGACAGGGAGAGGAAGCGGGACGTGAGCCCAGGTGAGGCCAGATTCTGACAGTCCTGGCAAGAGCCTTTGCTATGAGCGACACGGGAAGTCACTGGCACCTTTTGAGCAGAAGTGTGACAAGAAGTGACTAACGTCCCATCCCGTATTTCATTTACTCCCCCACAACTGGAACTGTGTTGGCCCTGGCTCATTTGCAGATACAGAGGTGACAGGGGTTAAGTGATTTGCCCAAGGGAGCAAAGCTAATCTGTAGGGGAGCGGGGACTGAAAGCCAGGTCTGTCTGACTCCAGGGTTCTTTCCACTGCTTCATGCTGCCCTTGTCCCTGCTCTGGCCTTGGCCCTCACCACCATCCATCCTTCCCCGCCCTGGAAGTGGGCCTTAGCCAGCCTTGACTCTCTTCAACTCCCACCCACTGCAGCCAGTAGCCAAAAGGCCCGGGGACTCCCGCTTTATCACCAGCTGCGGCAGTGGGCTGGATGCTTGGGCCAGAGGAGGAAAGAAAGATGGACAAGCCCCAAGCCCAGGGCCCTTTTACCTGTCACTTCTTTGTTCGCAAAGTCTCCTGGCACAGAGGGGGTGGGCACAGCCAGTCCATGGTTCTCCTGGGCATTCTGAAAGAGGGCAGAGAGAGCAGGGAACAGGGAAAGAGACAATTCTTAGATGGCTGCTCTAGGAGGTCAGTTTACTTCTCAAAAATCAGCAGTGATGGTGAGGGTTTGTATAACCTTATGAATATACTAAAACACAAAAGGGCTAATTTAAAAGGGCGAATTTTGGGGTGCCTGGGTGGCTTAGTAGGTTGAGTGTCCGACTCTTGATTTTGGCTCAGGTCATGATCTCAGGGTCTTGGGATCAAGCCCTCTGTTGGGCTCCAGGCTGGGCATGGAGCCTGCCTGGGGTTCTCTTTCTCCCTGTCCCTCTGCCCCTCCCCGCTCAAATAAATAAATAAATCCTTCAAAGGGTGAATTTTATGTATAGGTGAGTCTTGTTATTTGCAGTAGTTATGGTCTGTAAAGTTGCTTCGAACACTGAATTAGAAAATGTGGAATCAATGCACCAAGGGAAGTACAGGATTAGGTTCCTGCAAACTTCAGTCAAAGCATTTTCATCAACTGGTCAATACAGAACTTTATGTGTGTTTCTGTTTAAAGACACCTTATTTAATATATTCTTGACACGCTGACATTGAACTCATGGCCAACAGCACTATATCTCAAGCCTGAACAAAGCTTATCTAACATACGTATTTTTTTTCTGTAAGGCACATCACAGCCTTCTTGCACTTAGGGATGTTAGCACATCAGCGCTATGCTTGGGGGCCATTTTAAACAGTGAAATCACCAACAAAAAGCAAAGAAATAAAAAAAAACCATGGCACTAAAGAGCAAAGAACACTTATTTACAGTTTGAGAACTGAAGCAAGAAGGCAAAGTGTCTTGTTTGATCTCAGCTGGGACCGTGTGCATCAAGTGACTCAAATTTTTCACAGCTCTGCACATGTCCAAAGTGTCTGGAGTATTGCTTTGGGGGTTACAAATAAATTTCAGCGAGTAGGTGAATCTGCAAATACAAAATCTGCAAATAATGAGAGTCGACTGCCTATGAATTATATCTCAATTAAAATAAAACAACAAAAGTGGCTTGCTCCCCCGTGCATGTCCACAAGTTAAAAGCCAAATTCTTCAGCCTGACCTCCTGTTCGCTCTTGGTTTTCATTAGGTATTTACAGAGAAATAAATAAATTAAAAGTGGTGAACTGGAATATTTGTAGCACTGCAGGTGCCCTTCTGATCTTAAGCCTCACAAACCATAATGTGTTTACACAGCTGTTGGTTTGTACATACTATTTTGCATCCTATTTTTTTTTTCCCAAATACACATTTCCATACAACAACAAAGTCCACACACCTGTGTTTTGAAGCGCTGTGGTACATTTTATGGTAGCTTTCAAGGTCCTCAACACTCTGGCCTCATACGTCCCAGCCAGCTTTTATTTCCCACTCAACCTGATAGACCCATCCCGCATTCTAGCTTGACCACCCCCCTTTCCACTATCCTTCCAACCCATACATGGAGTTCATATTCATCCCTGAGGCTGCGTGTTGGTCAGGCTGTGCCCCTCTTCCTACCTTCTATTTCTAACAATAATACCCCTTGCTCTATGCTCTAAACACATGATCTCCATCACACCACTCTATGAAGATGTTATCCCCATTTACCAGATGAGGACACTGAGGCTCAGAAATATTTGGTAAGTTGTCTCTAGTCACACAACCAGTACTACCACCCCTGGGTCTGTGGTGCTCACGTTTCTCGGTATTTTGCCTCTCTGAAATCTCTCATCCTTCAAGGATTAGCTGAGCCCCTCCAGGAGGACAGTAGAGGTGAAGGGGCTAAGGGCACTGTTTTTGGAGCCAGACTGCCTGGATTTGAATTCCAGATCCGCCACCTCCTAGTTGTAGGACTGTGCTGGTTGCTTAAGCTCTCTGTGTCTCAGCTTCCCTGCCTATGAGGTGGTGATAAAAACAGAATTTACCTATTCTAGGGCAGTCATGAGGATAAATGACACAGTACACAAAAAGCACTTTACTGCTAGGGTGTGGTGAATGCCCGTTGAGTGTGAGCCCAATAAATATTATTGGCAGGAGCCCTCACTGACCTGATGCTTTTTTTTTTTTTTAAGATTTTATTTATTTATTTGACAGAGAGAGAGAGAGAGAGAGCACAAGTAGGCAGAGCAGCAGGCGAAGGGAGAGGGAGAAGCAGGCTCCCCGCCAAGCAGGGAGCCCAATGGGGGGCTCAATCCTAGGACCCTGGGTCCATGACCTGAGCTGAAGGCAGACGCTTGACTGAGTGAGCCGCCCAGGCGCCCCTGACGTGATGCTCTTCAGAGCAACCCATAGCAAAGCCCCTCAAAGGAAGATTTTTGTTTGCTCGCTTGATATTCCCCTCGTTCCTCCAATGAGATGTGGTTGACCCTGGAGCCCAGGGACTATGCCCTATGTGAATCCCCCAAAGCTGGACACACGGTAAGCTGTGTTGTTACTCACTGATGGGCTGATGGTGCTAACTCTCTGGGCTTAATGGCCTCTGGGGTTCACATATAAGACGGGGATTCAAGACAGGCATTTCAAAAATATCCATGAGACTCTGGGTTTCCAAGGGCAATGTCGGAATTACTCTTTGGCCATTTGGGGGCAACAAACCACTCATCTTCTCATTCTCAAAAAATTCTGACTCTGGAATAGCCATGAGGCATCATCTTTCTCCTGCCTCTCAGTAATTTTTTCCTGCCCCTACTTAATTCACACAGCCAACACATACCCATTCTTCACAGCTCTCAAACCCAGTGATCTGGGCCAAGGGGAGGGCCAGGGGCTAGCCAATCCGAGGAGTGTCTCCCAAGACATTCTGAGATGCCACACACACACACACCACTGACTGTCTAATAAACCTTCATCAAAAGTATGTACCCTCTTTTGATGAGGTAGATTTTGATGAGGTGGAGGCCAGATCTTCAAAAGCCACCCACGGCTGAGACTTCTGTTTACTCTTTTGAACATAATTGGAAAATAAAAAGACATGGAAACTCAGCATAAAAAGTCTTGGATTCCATTCATGCTCTGAATTTTGCCAGGGGTGTGACCTTGGATGAGCAGTGGTAGCAGTGATATTAAACCATCACTTAGGGCACCTGGGTGGCTCAGTTGGTTAAGCGACTGCCTTCGGCTCGGGTCATGATCCTGGGGTCCCGGGATCGAGTCCCGCATCAGGTTCCCTGCTCAGCGGGGAGTCTGCTTCGCCCTCTGACCCTCCCCCCTCTCATGCTCTCTCTCTCTCATTCTCTCTCAAATAAATAAAATCTTTAAAATAAAAAATAAAAAAATAAACCATTACTTACATACCTACTGTGTGCCAACACTAAGAGCTTTACCCACATTATCTCAAGTCCCTTCACAGAGTCAGGGTGCAAACCTAGACCCTGCAATTCACCTTTTCTACAAATCACCCATTTTCTTCACTTACAAAACAGAGATAATATTTCCTACTTTGCATTATGAGGATAAAATGAAATAATATCCCTAACCCAGGAAACCAGTGTTAGCTGAAGGCTTGTGTCTTCCAATCCTCTCTCCTACAAAGGGGAAAAAATTGTGAACAATCAAAGCTTAGCTGCCTGGAATCCTAGAAGCATCTTCTGGGTCACCCGTGATACTCCCGTATAATTATACGTGAAAGAGGAAGATGGACAGATTTTATGGGCCACAGGTCCTACTGCCCATCCCATCCTTGGAACTTCAAGAAGTCTGGAAACACAGTAGACTCCCCAGACCACAGGATGGAAGTCTGTCTCATGAGTGGTCTTGGAGCAACAATGCAGGCAGAGGTCAGGCTTCTCAGGTTCTCCCCACAGACATGGGGGGCCCAGCACATGACCACCACCTCACTGCTCTGCTTGAGCTGCTGTGTTCTCCTCTGTTCACACCCACACAGTCCCAGCGGCTCACTTAGCCATCCCTTCCACTACTTTGTCTCCAGGCAAGGCAAAGACACTCATTTTCACCTTAGTCCTAGAAAAACAGACCCAGAAGGTGAACTCCCTTCACTCATCAGGGAGACCCAGGCTGCTGGCTGGGATGGTGCCATGTTTCAGTGGGCAAATGCACCGGTGTAGACAGCATCCACCTCCATGAGTGCTGAATTCCCTGACCTGCCTCCTTGAGCCTCAAAGAACAGAGGAAAAGCCTCCTTAAGAAGAGGGCTTGCACATGACCCCTAAATGCAATGTGTGATCCTGAACTCGATCCTGGGATTTGTGCCATGAAGAACATTAAAGGGGCAATTGGCAATAACAATATAAACATGCATTAGATAAAAGTATCGTATCAATATTAAATTCCTGAATGTGGTAATTGTGCAGAAAATGTCTCTGTTCTTAGGTTACACACAGTGAGGTATTTAGGAGTATAAGGACACAATGTCTCAATGGTTCAGGAAGAAATATTGTATATATATCAAGGATGGAGGGAGCAAATAAAGCAAACGTGCTGAATGTGGGTGAAGGCTCTAGAGAGTTCTTTGTACTATTCCTGTAACTTTTCTGCACATTAGGATTGGTTGAAAGAAAAAGTTACTTAATGCCACTGAACTACACATTTTATTTATTTTTATTTTATTTTTTTAAAGATTTTATTTATTTGAGAGAGAGAGAATGAGAGATAGAGAGCACATGAGAGGGAAGAGGGTCAGAGGGAGAAGCAGACTCCCCGCTGAGCAGGGAGCCCGACGCGGGACTCGACCCCGGGACTCCTGGATCATCACCTGAGCCGAAGGCAGTCGCTTAACCAACTGAGCCACCCAGGCGCCCTGAACTATACGTTTTAAAATGGTTGCAATGGTTACTTTTATGTTATATGTATCTTACAATTAAAAAAAAAAATGGTTAAAACAAAAGATAAGACCATGGAAAGAGAAGGTGCTGAGAAAGCCTCAGAGCTTTCCATCTGTTGGAGGTCAGCACCTCACACCATCTTTCTCCCGCCGTCTCCAGCACTCCCAGGCTCAGCAGTAATAATGGCAGTTGCTGATTTCCTAGCACTTACTCTTTATC